GTGACCCTGCCCTTTGGTTTGCGCAAGTGGAAGCGCAATTTCTAACCCGTAACATCACTCAGCAACACACCAAATTCGCATACGTGGTTGGTTCCTTGCAGCCAGAGTTTGCAACTGAAGTGAGGGACATCCTCATTTCACCCCCTGAGCATAATGCCTACGACAGCCTGAAGACCGCCCTCATCCGTCGAACCTCCGTATCAGAGCAGAAAAGACTGCACCAGTTGCTAATATCGGAGGAGCTGGGGGACCGCAAGCCTTCACAATTACTACGTCGTATGCGGCAGTTGTTAGGAGACAACACGCTCGAAGAAAACATCCTGAAACAACTGTTTCTTCAGAGATTATCGACCAACGCCCAACTTATCCTGGCATCAACATCTCAAACGACACCCATTGAGCAACTCGCAGAACTTGCAGACAAGATTGTTGAAGTTTCTGTCTCGCCTACTGTACATGTCGGGGCAGTTTCATCCAGCCAGCCTGGCAGTTCGTCGCCTCCAACAACCATGCCAAGTTCAGATATGCTCACACTACAAGCCAAAGTTGACCAGCTAACCCAACAAGTCAGCGCTCTCACATGCCAACTCTCCGGTCAGCCCCGTGGGAGATCGAGGAAGCGTGACACAACCCCACCCAATCGACGCCCATCTCGCAGTCGCAGCCCATCACACTCTGGCACTGACTGCTGGTATCACTGGCGATTCGGCGCTGATGCCAGAAGGTGTGTGTCCCCATGCAGCTTCAAACCCCGACAACAACAGGGAAACTCCGATGCCAGCGACTAAAGGCGACGAGTCTCCCTGGCACCGACACCAATAGTCGCCTATTCTTCATCACTGAACGCAAGACAGGGGCCCGGTTCCTGGTAGATACGGGAGCGGAAGTGAGCGTTTGGCCTCCATCGGCTGAGGATAAACGTCATGCCCAGTCTTCATCTATCAATCTTCAGGCGGTGAACAAATCTCCCATCAACACATATGGTGAGAAGTCACTCACTTTGGATGTCGGGTTGCGTCGAGTCTTCCGTTGGGTGTTCATTATCGCGGACCTGCCAAACCCAATAATTGGAGCAGATTTTCTCCAACACTTCGGACTGCTAGTCGACGTTCAGCGTCGCAAACTCATCGACTCCACTACAAGCCTCACCGTAGGTGGAATCGGTTCAGATGCCATTCCCATCAGTCCAACCGTTGCCAAGCTGAGTGAGTCGCCCTATGAAGTGATCCTCGGACAATTTCCAGAACTGACACGTCCGACTTACACTGCCAAGGACGTTAAGCACTCTATAACGCATCACATTGTGACTAAGGGTCCCCCAGTGTCAGCTCGCCCAAGACGCCTGGCTCCCGACAAGTTCATCACGGCGAAAGACGAGTTCAATCATATGCTTGATCTCGGCATCATCGAAGCTTCGGACGGTGCATGGTCGTCGCCTTTACATATGGTGGCCAAGAAGTCAGGTGACTGGAGGCCGTGCGGAGACTACCGTGCCCTCAACCGTGTTACAGTACCCGACCGCTATCCGATACCCCATCTGCATGACTTTACAGCCAATCTGGAGGGTAAACGCGTGTTCTCAAAGATCGACTTAGTACGCGCTTACCACCAAATTCCAGTCCATCCTGACGACATCCACAAGACCGCCATCACAACACCTTTCGGTCTGTTCCACTTCCTTCGCATGCCCTTCGGCCTGCGGAACGCCGCTCAGACTTTCCAACGATTCATCGACATGGTTACGCGAGACTTACCTTTCGTGTACGCCTACATCGATGACATCCTGGTCGCGAGTGAGACAGAGGAGGACCATCTTGAGTACTTGCGTCTTCTCTTCAGCAGACTTTCCGAATATGGCATTATCATCAACCCATCCAAATGCCAGTTCGGGGTTCCCACCCTCGATTTCCTGGGACACAGAATCGACGCTGATGGTATCCGTCCCATGAGAGACAGAGTCAACGCGATTGCAGAGTTCCCTCAGCCTACCTCCACCCGTCAACTGCGCAGATTTTTGGGACTGGTAAACTTTTACCGTCGTTTCGTGCCAAACTGCGCAAGCGTGATCGCCTCGCTGACAGACCAGCTGCGAAAAAGACCCAACCAGTCACGCAAATCAACCAAACTGAATTGGACACCCGAATGCCAGACAGCGTTCCTGCAGATCAAGCAATCACTCGCTGACACCACACTTCTCGCTCACCCTTCTTCGGTACTACCAACTGCCATGATGGTGGACGCCTCGGACACGGCAGTTGGCGGTGTGCTTCAGCAACTTTCCGAAGGAGTATGGCACCCCCTGGCCTTCTTCTCTCAGCGTCTTAAACCTGCAGAGAGTCGCTATAGCACCTTTGGGCGCGAACTACTGGCCATGTACTTGTCAGTCAGACACTTTCGACACTTCATCGAAGGACGAGAATTCTGCATTTACACTGACCACAAACCGTTGGTGTATGCTCTCAACTCCAAACCTGACCGGCATTCACCCAGAGAAGTTCGTCACCTGGACTATGTATCTCAGTTTACATCCGACATTCGTCACATCAAGGGCACAGAGAATGTTGTAGCGGATGCGCTCTCCCGATCTCACATCAGTGCCTTGACAACATCGACCCAGATTGACTTCGAGCAGATGGCCATGGATCAGACACAAGACCAGGAACTACACAGAATCCTGGAATCACCCACATCCCTGGACCTCAAGCAAGTTCCGATATCGAACTCAAATACATCCATCTGGTGCGATGTGTCGACAGGTCATGAACGCCCTTTCGTACCCCAAAACCACAGACGGAGTGTGTTCGATTCCTTGCACAATCTGTCTCACCCTGGCATTCGAGCAACACTGAAACTGGTTGGTTCACGCTACGTCTGGCCACGCATGAACTCAGACATCAGAGCATGGGCCAAGGCCTGCGTCAAGTGCCAGAAGTCCAAGGTCCACAGCCACACCAAGACTCCGTTTGGAACCTTCGCATCTCCAGATGCACGTTTCGATCATGTGCACATAGACATCGTGGGACCACTCCCCCCTTCCCAGGGATATTGCTATCTACTCACATGCGTTGACAGGTTTACACGCTGGCCAGAAGCAATACCTATACCCGACTGCACCGCTGAAACAGTCGCCAAGGCCTTTGTGAACAGATGGGTCTCCACCTTTGGTGCTCCGTCTACGATAACCACAGACCGCGGACGACAGTTTGAGTCGGCCCTGTTCCACGCTTTGATGGTTCTCCTAGGTACCAGACGCACGCGAACAACATCGTACCACCCCATAGCAAACGGTATGGTTGAACGCCTGCATAGACAGCTCAAAGCCTCTCTCAAATCGAGTACTAACCCTCAACGTTGGACCGAAGCATTACCACTCATCCTCCTCGGGATCCGCACGGTGGTAAAGCAGGATCTTGGTTGCTCCACCGCCGAATTGGTGTTTGGCACCACCCTGAGACTTCCAGGACAGTTTGTTGCACCCCCCAACGATACTGGTAATCTCGCCGACCCTGCAGACTATGTTCACAGACTGCGACACACGATGCAGCACATCAGACCCACACCGCCTCGGTCGCGAGACAGAACTGCACAAATTCACAAGGATTTGATGTTGTGCAAGCATGTATTTGTCCGTTGCGATCATGTGCAGAAACCCCTCCAAACACCCTACAAAGGTCCATACCGAGTACTCAGCCGGACAGACAAGTACTTCACACTCGACCTGGATGGAAGGCAGGACACAGTCAGCTTAGATCGGTTGAAAGTTGCTTACCTCGATACAGATACCACCCCTTCCCAGCCATCTACCCTAGAGCTTAAGCGTGTACAGCCATCTCCTGCCATCCCTATGCACACGGTTGATGACCAACACACAGCAACACCAGCAGCTCAACGGCACTCGCGTTCCGGCCGGCATGTTCATTGGCCATCCAAGTACACAGACTTTGACTGTGGTTGATTTAACCTGAACACTTATCGCTCGCTTCAATACCATTTTGCGATCTAGAGGGGGGCTACTGTAGCGTTCACTTTAAGTTACACTGCACTGCGCCTTTAACGCATCTTGTATATATGTTAAGTTCAGAGGTCAACCTTCACGCATTCAGTTTCGTTATCGTTATCGTTCTGTCACACACGCAATATTTACAGTGCTTTTCCTATAATTTCGCTTGAAAGTTACAAGCTAGAATCAACGCTATTCTTTACATGATTTTTTAAACATCGACAGAGCTATTCCAGTGAGCAATCCAAGTTTCTCTCGTGGATTTTTGTGAGTGTTTATTGACCGAACTTTGTGAGCGTTTTCACCACGTGAGTTGAAACCAACTCGCCCCGCATTCACGGCGCGGGCAGTCGCCCCGTTCGCGTTGCGTTGTGCATGGACTCGGCCCAGTTTTGGCTGTTTACATACTGCAACTTGGTGAGTCACTTAACTTGCAATAAACTCGGGAGTTAAAGTAGGACAGTACAACTAATTCCTACATCCCTATATCTCGAGAATCGGAGGTCCGATTGGGTTCAAACTTGGTGTGCAGGTATTCCGGGAAGTGTTATAGACAAAAATTGCAGTGACGTTACGATGACGTCATCATGTGATTTTATATGAATTATTCATTTTTTTGACCTTTTACTCATATCTCATCAACGGAATGTGGTTTAGTCGAAATTCTTTTTGCAAAAGGTTTGTTAGGTCGTAATAAGATACAGAAAATTTCAAAAAATGTGTGACGTCACCATGACGTCATAAAAAATGCTCTTTTTTACATAGGATGGAGATGTATAGAATCATGTATAGAATACTCATGTACATGTTCATTCCACTTGGATGAAACTCCATTATGGCAGTTATTAATAAAACGATCGAAAAAACTCAGTGCTTGTCCATACTGTTTTGTGAACGTTAAGCACTCAAACATCTAAATTTGTGAGTAAGCCTAAAGGATACATTTTGAGAACACGGACACATGTGTTTAAGAACAGAAACACCGTTTTGGCTGGACTGGTTATTCAGTGGGCTGAACTTGTTCTTCAGAGACTGCTTCAAGTTTTAGGTTGTTTTGAATTTTGTTTACATCCCTGGTTAATACACCAGAGGACCCACTTAATTGATAAGTGTGCGTTGAAGCACTTTGAGAAGGCATGTTGTCTACGATTTTATCTAGAATAACCCTCTCACCGCGTGACACGTTGGTAATTTTTGGTTTATTTAGCCTCTTACACAGGTCATTGCATGTGTGGTTCTTAAAGAACTTTACAATACCACAAATCCCTAAATCAGTAGAGCCGTAAAAACCGAGTTCGGTGCCTTTGCTGTTAACCGCCGGGTCAGAGAACTTGTACCCAGAACTACTGCGCACCCCTTGCAAATCGCAAACCAAAGCCGTGCCGTTGGATTCATGGTAAGTGAAATGACTGAAGGCAGCCGGGGTGGCGATATCTGCTTTTTCCGAGTATCCAGAGTTGTTGTTAAATTTGACATACTTCCCCTCAAGGTACGGCTCGACAGCGAGGGTAGCGTTTGCCGGGATAACATTGGAAACAATGTCGGAGGTGCCAGCAAGTTTCCCTTTTACCTTTCGTTCAAATGGAATGAAGCCCAGGAAATTGAACGCGGCACGGGTGTCAACTTGGGTGAATTCAGGTTTAACGAACTCGATTGGTTTGCTCGTATTATATTTAATGTTAAACAACTGCGCCATCTCGTGAGCTTTGCGATAGGCACGGTCGTCTGCTTTCCAGGCATATTCTGACAGGCGTTCATACCATTCTTCTTTATAGACTTTCACCACGCAACGTTTCCCTTCAAAGCGGGGATCCCCGTGAAATGTGCCCTTGTAGGCATACCGGGAGGCCCCTTGAGCGAACCAGTCGTTCTCAAACTCTACCCACGTAGATGTGTATCCAATCACTTCAGAGGTGTTGCTTTGGTTGCTGCCCATATTGCAAAGATAAGGATACGTCTGAAATTAGAAAATTTCAGCTAAGTAATAATTTTTTGAGAAACTGTAGTCCAAACCAACAAACCAAAAGTTATCAGATAAAGTGTGGATTTATTTATAAGTGTCGCGTAACAATTGCAGGGATTTCGCACTTCACGTAGGCACACTATTTTTGACAATAATTATAGGTGATTATTTAATGCGTTGAACTGTTTTCTTTTTGTTAAATAGCTTGCTTTTGGACGGTTACAAAATTTCATCATCATTTGAATGTTCATTTTTGTCAAATTGTGCGCCTGTTACCAACAGTTTAAGCTTTCTTACGTGTCTAAAAGCGTTCGGGCATTAACAATAGTAGCGTAGCAAGGTCAGTTTACGTGAAAAAAGGAACTCCCCTCATCCGTGCTGAAATTAAGGTGAACAGTTTTTGTTTTTGTTTACCGGTCCCCCGGCCCCTGTTAAATAAAACAAGGGGGGGGGGCTTTCCATGGCACCATGGGACAATTGGTGGAGGACAAAACGTTGCACTTTTCACGGCGGTACAATTGCCGACGCTCGCTCTGCGTAAAAAAAGTCACTCGTAAATGAGGGCGCTCGAGAAAAAGGGCGCTCATACCCCGTTTGTTGTAGAGTGACCTTTAGTTTTTAAAACGAGCACCCTTGCCCTTGTCCAATGAGCGCCATTTGTTTTCCACGAACGCCCTTTTTGCCCTTTTCTTCATGATCGCCATTTTTTCACGATCGCCCTGTTTTTTTTTTAAATTCATGGCTATAATTAAACACAGAATACAAAGTCATGCTCATTATGTAACGTTGCCGCCATTGGTGCAAGAAGCCCATCTAATTTTCACCTTTCAATATGTACCATTTTCTTTGTTTTGATGAATGTTTTTGATAGTTATTACAAGAATCAATTTCAGAGCATCAAATAGCATCACCGTAATTTACTTCAGTTTTGCCAATTTGGGTTGAAAACCCACACATTTTTGGAATAAAATCAGTAAGTATAGTCCCTATGGCAGTGACAATAGATACATACAATTACCTGACTGGGATGAATATGTAGACCAATAATGTTTGTTCTAAATATTGAACCATTTACACATACAATACAGAAATTATGCCCAAAATGATATCTAGACAAGAGTTTGAAAAAAATATTTAGAAAAGCACCTCAAGTGGTAGCAGCAATAGAACCAAGAGTGTCATATTATAGAGTAGTGGTTAACTAATATTTTTCTGCCAAATCAGTTTTAGGAAAATCGGTCAAAGCATAAGCAAATTAACATGGGGATCACAATGTGCTGTACCCCTCCTTTTCCAAAAAAAAAAACACCAAATACCCGCCAGAAAGGGTTAAAATCTGGAAGCACTTGGTTAAGTGGGTAGATGATATTTTTTTTAATTAACACATTAACAAAACATTCCCTGTTTGCATACAAAAACCTGTAATTTATTAGCACCAATACATTTAAAATTGCTTGCCATGCAACAATGGATGCACCACAGAAGTGTGGCCTTATAGACTACTGATGCATTTACGATTTTGGAGGGCATAGCAGCACCCACAACGGTACTATATTCGACTTTATATGTACTCCATCTGACCATAACTACACGTAGGGCCAAGACAATTCAATCAATCAAATTAAAAGCCGTTTTCAGTTTTCACTAGATTGATGGTTGTTTTAAAGTACATGTATTTTAATAAAGAAATATGAGTTATTTGCTCTCTAAATTCTCTGTATTGAAAATAATAAAAATAAATGCAATTTAAAAAAAAATAACATTGTGTACTATTTACATGTATTCATACTACATTCCCCCGCGCTTTCCAGATATTCAAAACCACTCCCACGTTGACAAAAAAAATGCCACACCTACATAGTGCATATAAATATGTGGACTTTTCGCAAGGCAATATGTAACCTTAACAATAATACATATTCTGTACATTTCTTTGGGAGGGGGAGGGGTAGTTGCTCATAATGAGCACTGGAGTAGGAAAAGGGGTGGCAGGGGGTCGGCTGTGCAATGGGTACGGCTGTTGGTGTATATTATGAAAGGTTCAAATATTGCAAATTCATATCTATTTCCAATTTTAATGAAGGCAAATACAAGTAGCAGTTAAAATCTGAATTTGGTGGCAAGGGAAGGGGCGGGCCTAGCTGGGAGGGGAGGACTAGACATCAATATTTTAACTAATGGATGCACTTCAAATAGAGGACAATGAATATGGCCAGTATTATTCATTGCGGCTTGCAAACACGTGATTTTTGTTCATGTGGCAATGATTTTACCGACAAAGCCAAGTTATTGGTGGGTAGTCACACCCCACCCTCAACCCCAAGCAATGCACCGAGGTGGGGGAAGGGGAGGCTGTGAAAAGGAAGTCTGTGTAATTTCTGTGTTCACTTTCATATTAAATATTTTCATTTGTTTCGTTATGCAACGGTGGCAAAGGGGGAGTGGGCCTATGTACACTAACACAAGATTTTCTCACCAGATTTGAATAGACCAATGTCTGAACTAACAATAGCCGAAGGGAAATTATTCTGAGTGCCCTGTCAAGTGCCATTTTGGAGGGATAAATATGGGGTAAAAATGCAATTTGGCTAGTTGTAAAAACATGCTGTATTGTAGGGCCAAAAATAATACAAAGTTGAACTTTCAGAAGTGTTTCTATGTTTTCTTGTTAGGGTAGGGATGCTACTTTGTCTCGATATAGTTACTTTTGTGGCATTACTTCAGAGTTTGGCTTGATGACCTTTGAAAATAACGTAAAAAATGCATTTTTGCAGCCTCAAAATTGCCAAAAAATAGCCACACACAATGGCCCGTAACCATGGCTACGTACAAAGTGAATAGTTTGCAAAATAGAAATGGACGGATGTGGGATGATCAAGCAGAACTCGTAACGATTAGGCCCTACACAATGAGGGACTAAAACGTGCACCTTCCACGTCGGGCACATGACTCAGGCTATATGAAATTCCGCCGTTTTCATGCCATGAACTACTGCTAAGTTTAACAAACGGAGGGGAACACGATGTCATAGTAGGTACAGGACAATTTGGTATAATGTTATTTACTTACCGACTACCGTACTTGCGCGCCACACACTAGAAGGTTGAAGAAGACTGCAACTCCAATACGCCAACAAAATCTGTGGAATAAAACGTGCATATTTCAAAGCAAACAAATGACGTAAGGTGTTTAAGAAACTATATTTTTGTAAGGTGTTTAAGAAACTATAAGAAACTATATTTAAGAAACTATGTTTAAGAAACTATATTTTTGTTCACAAAACTTTTTAGAAAGACCTCCCATTATGTTTTGTACACGATCGTAAATTTGGGACCTTCGGGAATTGGGAACGCTATTGTCCTCTATTGTTCTATGTTACCCAACGTCCCCTATTTAATGCAGAAAAAAACTCCATGCACCCAGCTCGTTTTAACTATACTCACGACGACCTGATCTGTTCCTGATTTGTTTGTACTCTAACATTTTCTCGACAGCTCACATAAAGTTTGTCCACGAATTCTCCCGAGGACCTAGGCCAAGGTCCTCGGGACCATTTAAATTGCACACACCCCATTGTCCCAAGTCCTCAATCTAAATGGATAACCATCCCAGCCACAAATTATTTCATAAAATTGGATTAATAAAAATGAATGCGTTTGGAGGTTACTTTCTTATAACAGCAATTTCAGGTCAATAAAACAGCATATGAAACAAGTACCTGAAGTTTGGATAGTTGAGCTAAATGATGAGGTTTGTGGAATTCGTCAGGGTTCTCTTGTTACCTCAGACATATCTGAAACAAAAGGATGTACACACTTTAAAAAAATTAACTGTACAAATTACAGTAATTTACTGGCAGCTGAGATGCCAGCCGTTTACTGTAAAGTTTACAGTAAATATTATCTTACTGTATTCAAATAACATGGTAAATTACTGTATTTTTTTTACAAGAGCAGTACTACTGTAAAATGAATACGGTAAAGTACTGTAAACTTTGTACAGTTGTGTTGATCATACTGTTAAGCAATTAACAGTAGTTAACAGCTAAATTCACAGTAATATTGAAATTTACAGTAGGGCCTACTGATCCAGTAAAAATTTACAAAAAATGCACACAGATGACAACTGTTCCACGTTTGAAACTTTTATTCTATTTATTGCATGAAGGACGAGAAAGATTTTTTATTATGTTCAAATAATTCAAATATTTTAGTTAAAACAAATGTTGAAACACAATAAGACATTTTTCTATTCTTCAATTGAATTGATTGTTCAAAATCATTTGTTATTCCAAGTACAGTGGAAACATTAACCCACATACCGGTATTTAACTTCGCGGCCCACTATAAGCTGATACTTTGTTGTTAATTATCTTTTAAGCGTACAAACATTATCTTTTTCCAAAACTCGTTGCGTTTTTTGGAACTCCCTACTCAATTCTATTTGAACATGTGTTATTATTAGGCAAAAGTGACTATGCGTGTCAGGTATGAACCTCCGCTACCTAATGAATCAGCTGAGTTTGTTCTCTTTGAAATGACAATTGTGGAGGACATCATACATGTACCGTACGTCAGATTGCTTCTCATAAATATTATATCCGGTTGAGGAGGAAGCACAAACTACTGGTCCTCATGTTGCAATTGTGGCCGGCAATAGTACACAGGTTTTAACAAAGAAACTACATCTTGTTCTTCTTTTTTTTTTTAGAACAAATGTACAGATGTTAAGAAAAGATTTACACATTCCACAAAATTGTGTATACAGAACATTATTGCCTTTGGTGACCTTAGTACTGGACAAGGCCGTTTTAAGTGTTACAACAATTTTCTGTGATAATATTTATGTTATCTTTATTAATTCAATGAGTGGATATACTAGCACATTTTCTAGATAGTTGTGGGTTTATCCGTGGATGGTTTTCATTTGGCGTGTCGCATCTGAAGGCTTATTACTTTGGAGATCACACAGAA